AATACTATTTTTATGATGACGTATTCGAATACAAAATATTCGGAATACTATTTTTCATGAATATCCGAGTATTTATTCCAAATACTTTTAAAAAGTATTTTACCCAAGACTGTTAATAATACATATAATACTAGCATAACCCACAATTTTTTAATTAACCTRAAAACACGTGCATCAGTATAATAATGATAAAATTTTAATAATATACTATATCACGCGRCATAACAGTATTATATAAASATTAACAAAACACGAATTCACACGATGTAAATAATATTGCCTATAATAATAATATGTCTTAGTTGTATAATTTTTTAACAGACAATCAACCCTATATGAATAAATATTATAAACAACATCAGGTCACTAGTTATTTGTTTACTSGAATATAATAATAATTACATACATTAGCCATATAATGGAACATCCGCCGATAGCGCTGACTCTAGAGAAGCAAAAAAGGGACACCACGGGTGTGAAAAATAATAAAATCAACTCCAAAAACAGCCGTGAYGGCACAATAACACTATTCGACATCGTGGAAAATACATAAAACATTATTAATAAAAATCATTATAAATATCCTTAGCAAGCAATTCATGAAAGTCACTGCAATATAATATATACAATATTCGTCAATGTAAAAAATAATGGTACACAACTAAAAAACGACATTTCTTTCACGAAATTTAGTATTCTTGGTAAGTAACCCTTTATATTTTCGTATTTAATTATTTGACACAGTTTTATTTATTTGTAAAATTTGAATAAAAATGTATTCGACACTTGCAACTATACACAAAATATGTAGTTTCCATGGAAACTGTTAACTATAGTGTTTCTTCACTACTTGTTTTATTTTTTCTTCACATAATAATTGTTTAAAGATTGTTACGACGGATTTTTTCTGCTGTACTATACTAAGACTAACCGATTATAATTCTATAACTTACTGAAGTATTATCATGTCTTCATCAGCTTCGTTAAACTACGTGCATTTGAAAGAGGTGACTTATATAGCCAATTATTTCACTGAAGATAGTTTGACGAAAACCTATACCATTTCATACAGATWATATTAATATATATATATTGTTCGACACGATAGTCACGGCAGAGTTAAACGTCTTGTATGAMCCCGATTTAGCAGAGCCGATTTTAATAAAAATCGATTACATAAATATTTTAYTTTATCTTCCCCGTATCGAATATCCACTTCATCAGGGCTACAGGCCATGTTGAATTATCTTCAACTAAAATACTTTTATTTTCAGATTCATTTTAAAGAATTCTGACCATTTAATAATTTTCCATTTAATACAACAGTCTGGTTCCACTATAGTTTAATACTGCACTGATGCACTGGAGTTGATTATTAAGATTAATATTAGGGTTATTATTTTGGTTCATGAATTTATGATTGATAATATCATAGTCGTGATTATAATCAGTATTGATAATTGATATTATGATTAAGTATTATTATTAAACAAATAATAATTTTCCATCATACAACCAAACTAATTGGTCGAAAATAAAAATAAAAACATTTTTTTTTTTTTTTAAGTAATTAATATTTTATTTTACCTTAATTTTCTATTCATTTTGAAGATGAGTAGGTATATGTAGATATTCAATACAATATAATAGTGATATAATTTTTCTTTTTTTTTAATTTGTATGTAAATCACATAAAGAGTGACTGTGTCTATGTAATCTAATAAAATATATCAATATACAAAATTATTTTATCAAMAAAAGAACAGAAATGTTTGTGTTGCTTTAGTATAGTATTGTATTATTTTATATTAATACTAGCTGAACCCATGCACTTCGTGGCCCGTTAAAAATCTTACCTCTTATACATTTCAAACTGTGTGTTAAATTTGTTACCTGTAATTATGCTAACAGTATATTTTTATACATAYATATATATATATTTGTATACAGAGTGTCCCGCGAGGATTTACCTATTGCGATATCTCCCGAAATGGAGATATCAAAATTCTGGGTTTTTAATAAGAATCACAAGGATAAAAACAACAATTATTTCCTATTTTAATTTATTTTAATGTTTTACATTACTAGATTTACTTTTTCATCGGAAAAGTTGTTGAAGATGAAATCAAAGCATTATTTCGACTACTTATCGTATATACAGACAAAAAAACACACACACACACACATCATTGTACAATCAATACATTCATCGCTCCTCTCAGAATCTAAAATCATTGTGCACAACCGAAAAATGACATTTCTTTCGTTTGTCTGTCTTTTTTTTTCTTTTTGTGGTAGGGATGTCAAGCAATCATTATTCAGATGAACGCAGTGCTCGTCAGCAAGTCTTCCATGGACCGTCCGAGAACGTCGTCAAATCTCCTCGTCAGTATCCGTCCGCACATCCCTCAGCAATACAATTTAGGTTAACAAATCATAAAAAAAAATATAGTGCGTATACCTACGCTAGACTAAGTAAATATACGTTCCGTTACCGTTGTTATTCGTTAATTGTTATAATATCCCATTTCGACTACAGTGRTGTAACCAGTAATACAGTGTTTGTTGTCAATTTTATTGTAATGTAGTCAACTGCATAAATGCCATAAAMTACTGTGAGTCTGTAAGGCATCACAAATACAACGGATAACTTCTGCAACATCGTTCGGATATCCGATTGGTAGGTGAACATTTTGATCATAGTGTATTTAAGGAAACCGTATACTTAAATTTTGAATGGCAATCGATACAAGCTGATTTAAAATAGAGACGAGAGTGTTGCATTATCGTTTTATCACTATTACAACGCATATATTATAAATTTATAATATTATATACGTTGAGAGACCTATTCGTATCGCCAGACTGGTAACTTGAAGCTTATGTGTTTTAAACCTTACCTGGCCACTTAGACTTAGATGGAAAACGAGTTTTATTTTTCACATGTTATTACGCTCAAACGATAATGTTTRCATTCTAAAATAGTTTCATCATAAAAAACTCTCAACAAAATAAAATTAGTTCGAAAATTTCTCATATCAAAAACTTATTTTAAGAATTTTTTATTCGAAGTGGAACACAATTTATGTTTCTTTAATATTATGAGAATAATAAATTTGTCAAATTTGTAAATAATATATATAGATAGGTGTCTATATATTATTATGTCCATGAAATAACAAAGTGACTTATTTTTATACAATTTATAGTAAWACATTTTTCTACATTTTTATTTTGTACAGATGATATAATGTAACAACTAACCAGTATTTACACGCGGATAAAATATATGGGCAATCGATATGAATTTTGTCATCTTTAGAGAGGCATTATTCATGCCCAAAATAGTTTTTGAATGTTGAGTTTAGTAATCAACCAACAGCCGATATTTATTAGAATTGACATGGGCCTATTTGTAATAAATGTTTAAAAAAATTTGTGTAAAATCTAATGGGCTTTAATAATTATATTATAATAAATATTATATTATGGTACACAAAAGAGGCCCTTTTTAATATGTTATTGAAATAATATGCCAATATAGTTTAACAATTATTGTATTTAGTTAAAATTTATTTTGAACTGTGAGTTGAAAACTTCTTACTCAACATATTTAAGRACGAATTTTCAAAAATAATATGACACTTACATTAATTTTTGTAAGTTTCTTAATCAATAAAATTATACTAAGTTGATATTATATATTTATATTGAAGCGTGTTCTAATGTTCTAAATCAAAACATTCATTTTTGATTGCGCTAAAATAAGCAATTTATGATAGATAAATATAAATATTAAATATTTTGGTAACAGTATGCTTCATATTTCTGTTGAAAGAAGTAGATAGGTACCACATAAACCAATTAACCAACTAATAATAATGACTATTTCAAAAATTGAATTATGTTCTCAATTTATTAAATTAATCAATGAATTTATAGATTACATTAAACAAAACTGTATTTTTTGTATACAACATCAAATAGGTATAAATCAAAATAGACATTTTTTAAAAATACATGTGAATTCGCAGGAAAATCTTATATAGATGTATATAATAATATAAATAATATGAAAAACAATATAATATATAAAGGCAAAACGTGAAAGATTCWTAGCTAAATGTATTCATAATTTCGTGATTATATTTCAATATTTTCGTTCTGAATAATACAAAATAAGTGTATGTAAACAGTAAATATTTAAAATTGAAATATTATGCCTGAACAAGTACAATAGCTGACCCTGTCATTAGTCGATGACACACTGTTTACGTATGTATATATTAAATCATATTAAAGTCTTTATGTATTTACTGAAATTTTCAATAAAACAAAGTAATATAGGTATTGRTGTAATATATGTTTTAGGAGATTTATTACGCGGAAAATTAAATTTTACTCTAACGGTAAGAGAACTTAAGAACGAATTTGTGCATTTTGACTTTATAAAATATAATTATGGGTGTACATTATACGTATAATATACTACCTATATAGGTAATAAATTAAATGCATTACGTATTATTTTAGTATATTTATTGTAATATTGTAATAAATTTATAATATTATAAGTATTATATTGTGTCTTTGCTATTTATATTATGTAGTAATCACTAATCAACAACGTTCCTTATAGCATGTTTATTCATTTCTCGACGTCAGATAGATAGGCGCGGTTATAAGCCAACACGTGTATTAGGTATAATTAATATAGGCTTTTAGATTTTCATAAAAATATAAATAGCTAAATCGTTATGATAATAATAATTATTACAGTCATGGACATTAACAGGAACTGCACTTCCGTGTAGATTCAGCAAAAGCTTTTTCGAAAAGTGGCGAACATTTCTCCCTTGGCGTTTCGTCTCTCAGCCCGAACGCTCCCTACAAATAATATAACATGATATGAATTAACAAAAAAATAATTAATATAAAAATTGAAGACAAAAAATACATTTTATAACCTAACATACGCATATATAGACAGGAACGTATTTAGGACCCGTTTTACAATCCTATAGTTTAAACCTAGGTTATGCTTGAACCACTGATTTTACCAGCCGAATTCCATGGTTTAAACGGAGTTCAACTATTGTAATACGAGCCCTTAGACAATCGGGGAATGAGGCATTTTTTGATGGCAATTTTTTTAARAATTTATTGGCGACATCATAACTGTCTACAACCATCGTCCATTGAGAGTCGTATACATACACGTTTTGTTACATTTTACCCATAAATTGATGAGGATATACTCCTTTACCCAGTTTAAGCTCAAAATTGGTTTTTTAAAAAATACTTTTCAATTCTAAGTAATCAATAGTCATCTCATTGTTATATTTTTTTTTAAATATTTTGGAATTATGTAAATATATGGGTTGAAAAAAACTAAAAAATTAAAATA